CTGATCATGGCAGCTCCCCTGGGCAGTGCTTCTCGACGGGTTGATGGGAATATGCGAAGCGTCAATACCTTCGATCGACGTCCTGGGCGCTCCGAGCCCTTATCACGCAACATCACTCATGCTCATAGATCCTCCACTTCGCTTGTCCACCTCAGTAATCTTCCCCCTCCTCACTTACCATCCTCCTTTCATCTGCTTCTGCTCCGCAACAACTACCACTTTTTCCTCCTAGCCATTCCTCCTCCTGCTCCCCCTCCTCAGTCCTCCGTTTCCTCTCACGCCACATCACAGTCTTCGCCCTCCTCCTCCTCCTCCTCCTCCTCATCCGTCTACATGTCTCTCTTGAGTCAGCATGTTCGTTTTCACCGCGTTTCATCCGCCTCGTTTTCCGCTTCGCTCTGTGGCATTCTGCCCATGCGTCCTCCTTCTCCTTATTTCTCACTGGTGCTTCTATTCGCTCGCCATCCCCTTCCCCCCTCATCATCATCCTCACTCCTTCTCATCCCCTATTCTCCATGTCACCATTCACCATCGTCCGCAACGATCGCCCGCACACCGCCTCTCCACCCTTCATCCGCTTCGCCCTTCTCGGCATCTCCTTTCTGCCCCTCCGCGCAGCATATTTCTTCTCCTCCTCCACCACCTCCTCTGCATTCTCATACTCAATCCTACTCGCCACCGCCCCATCATCGCTTCCCCGTCTTACTCCTCGTCCTCCTACTCCACTTCCCTCTCCGCGCACGTTCTCATCAGTTTTCTTTGACAAGTCGCTGTCACCACTCATCGTCATTGCTCCTTGTCGCCCTTGGCAACCATGTTCAGAAACCCTCCTAGATCCTCCTCGCTGCTGCTGCCCCTCCTCTTCCGTGCCCGCCTCAACCCCTATCCTCCTCACTCCTCCCTGTCACCCCTCTGAGCGCACGCTGCTTCTTACTTCGTCTCCTAATCGGCAAGCACAGCAAATTATCACCGTTTGCAGACCTGTTCCTATTCATCATCCCCTCTCTTACTCCTCGGTCATCCTCTGAACTTGAGCTCCCCGCTCCTCATCTTCAGCCTTACGTCCTTGAAAAAAACCTCCGCAATCCTCCTCGCTCACGGTCATATATATATAGATATAATTGTTACACTGTTTAAATGCATTGCTCCCCCGTGTCTCTCCTCACTCCTCCTCCTGCTCACTCCTCATCCTCCTCCTCGTCCTCAATCCTCCTGCTCACTCCGACCCTTCTTCTTCAGCATGTCGCGCCGCCCACCGCACTCGTCCTCATCCTGCTCGCTCACTATCGTTGCCCTCCTTCTCACTGGTCTTACCCCTCCTCTCTACCTTGCTCTCATGCCAAGCTTGAATGGTTACATCCAGCCGCCTATGGCTCATCCGCCGCCGCGCCGCGGGCCGGGGGGCTGGGGGCTGGGGGGCATAGGAGGCGGGGGAGGAGGGGCGGAACGGGGCGGGTAGCGGGGATGGGCAAGAGAACAGGCAAGAAACCCTTAAGTTGAGCCCAAACGACTCCCCGAGAGGCCCCAAAAAGACCACCCGAGAGGCCCCAAAAAGACCACCCGAGAGGCACCGAAACGATTCTCCAAGAGATCCCAAAACAATTCCCTCAGAGACCCCCAAAACGATCCCCTCGGAGATCCCCGAAACGATCCCCTCGGAGATCCCCAAAACGATCCCCTCGGAGATCCCCAAAAAGGACTCCTCGGAGATCCCCAAAACGATCCCCTCGGAGATCCCCACAACAATCCCCTCGGAGATCCCCCAAACAATCCCCTCGGAGATCCCCAGAACGATCCCCTCGGAGATTTCAAAACGATCCCCTCGGAGAGGCCCCAAAACGATTCTCGAAGTGGCCTCAAAACGATTATCGAAGAGGCCCCCAAACGATTCTCGAACCCTATAATTATTCCAAAGAGGCCCCAAAACGACCCCGAAGAGGCCTCCAAATAGGCCCCCCAAACGACCCCCAGCAGGCGTCAGAATCAGTGAACTTCCGAATTCACAGACCAGATCAATAGAATCAGTGATCTGGATATGTCACTGATTCTACTGTGGGATCAGAGAACTTCCTATTTCACTGATCCGGAAGACGGTTTTCGGAAAATGACTGAACTCCCCAGATCACTGATCTTGACTTCTGGATTCACTGATTTACCCTTCTTCCCCCATCCTCTTCCTATTCCTCCTTCTTATCCTCCTCCTCCCCCCTCTTTCTCCTCCCACAGATTCGTCCTCCTCATTTTCCTCCTCCTATACCTACATTTCTCCACCTCTGCCGTTTCCTTCTGCTTCTTCTTCTTCGTTCCAACGGTAGCGGTCACACCTCCCCGAACCGTTCCCAATTGCCCAAGATAGCCCCAAACATTTCGTCATGTTGTTGTTGGTGGATGTTTTTTTTGTAATGGGTGTTTGACAGCAATTGGCGAACAAACGCTCACGGAAGCAGCGTGCTTTCCGCAACGAGAAGATCACACATGCAAGCAATTCCAAAGAAATCATTGAATCATTTTGCACGAACTTAGGAAAATACTACGTGCTATTTAGGGCTCCTGGTTCTTGGGTTCGCGCAGCCCGCTACAATGTGGTAGCCGGCCTCTGCAAGCACACTTAATTGAAACCGAACAGCAGCATTATGGAGCATCAATGACAGCATAACGCAATATGCTTTCCAACAATGTTCCAACGGACATGATATACCCTCAATTGCATTATGTTTGCATGCGCTTTGTAGGTCGACGCTCTCTCTCCGTCACGGGGAAACAAGTAAACCCCACTACACGCAATTCCATACCACTTAAAATCACGATTCCGACATCAACAAATCCTCGCATCAGTACGTGCGGGATTCAATTCCCCATGTTGGGTTTGCGCATGCGCAATCATGTTATCATCGATTTCGAAAGCATCGAAGTGTAATTTTGTGAAAGTGAGCACGGTTACAGAAAACATAACTCCGAACATAGAACTCACAGAACTTAGCCATATCCCATAAAATCACGATATCAACAACAAAACATCATCAAATCAGTACGCGCGATATTCCATTCCCCATCTTGGGTTTGCGCATGCGCACAATCACCGATTTCGGAAACATCGAAATGTGAATGTAAGAAGTTTAAAGCATGAAGTGCTTCTGCGTACAACATAAATATACAATTCACCAAGCTAAAACATGCGAAAAAATATGGTTCCGACCATGGAAGTATATGAATCCAAATAGCATGTTACAAAAATTTACCTCCGAACATGGAAATCACAGAAAGCATGTAAGCGAGACCGCATAAATCTTGAAGCAAAAATCATAACAAAAATCTGGAAGCCAAGTAGCAGAAATTCTGGCTACTTACGGGCTACGTACAAGTTACTTACGGGATATTTTTAAATGAATATAAGTTACTTGTGTCTACTTACTAAGTAGGCCGCAAGCTCCATAAATATGTATAAGTAGCATACGTACTTATAAGTAGCCCCGCCGCGCTCAGTATTCCAGATCGGGCCCCAAGGTTCTCTTAGGGCTTCGGGTTAACGACTTTGGCGTCCCAAATATTTTGGGCGTCCTGTTCAGCGCGCGCGCTGCTTTATATATCAAGCTTGCAAATGCATGCCCATACATGGCGTTACTTGCGTAACTGCAGTTACGTGGCACTTACGCCACTTACATAAGTAGCCCGTAAGTTACTTACGCTACTTATATAAGTAGGCCGTAAGTACTTATAAGTAGGCCAAAGTACTTATAAGTACTTACGCTACTTATAAGTAGGCTGCCCCTACTTATAAGTAGCTCCTAAGTAACTTAGCTAAATATGAGCTACTTACACTACTTATGAGCTACTTACGAGCTACTTACACTACTTATGAGCTACTTACGAGCGACTTAGGAGCTACTTTTAATTGGCGTAACTGCATAAGTACTTATAAGTACCCCCGCCGCGCGCAGCGGGGCCAGGGGTCAGTCCGGGGTCAGTCCGGGGTCAGTCCGGGGTCAGTCGGGGGTCAGTCCGGGGTCCGGGGTCAGTCCGGGGTCAGTCCGGGGTCAGTCCGGGGTCAGTCCTGGGTCAGACCGGGGTCAGTCCGGGGTCAGTCCGGGGTCAGTCCGGGGTCAGTCCGGGGTCAGTCAGTCCGGGGTCAGTCCGGGGTCAGTCCGGGGTCAGTCCGGGGTCAGTCCGGGGTCAGTCCGGGGACAGTCTGGGGTCAGTCCGGGGTCAGTCCGCGGTCAGTCCAGGGTCAGTCCGGGGTCAGTCCGGGGTCAGTCTGGGGTCAGTCCGGGGTCAGTCCGGGGTCAGTCCGGGGTCAGTCCGGGGTCAGTCCGGGGTCAGTCCGGGGCCAGTCCAGGGTCAGTCCGGGGTCAGTCCCGGGTCAGTCCGGGGCCAGTCCGGGGCCAGTCCGGGGCCAGTCCGGGGTCTGTCCGGGGTCAGTCCGGGGGCAGTCCGGGGTCAGTCCGGGCTCCGTGCGGTCCGTTGGCCGGGTTCATCTGGGGTTGTCCAAGACGGATCCGGGTTTTGCCGGAGGTCTGTCCAAGTTTTGTCCGGGGTCCAGTCAGGGGCCACCCTGGACGGTCAGTCCCCGTAGTGACCTGCAGGAAATGAAACCGTGCAGACCGACCCTTGAATGACCGAGTGTATATACACCTGGTCGAATCGAATTTGATGCATGCAGCCGAGCCGACCGCCACATTAGGTGCACGCGTATTGTGAGAGCGCCCAATGCACGGAGACGGAGAGTAATTTTAATGCATGGGAAATGAAAATGCAACGCCAGATCTAGTTTTCGATTGCAGAAGTCGGGGACAGAAACTTCCGATCTAGTTTAGCCGAGACCTAGATTCACCGATTCTATTTTTAACGAGCCGGATGTATCCACTGTGGCTGGTGGGAGGGGCCCGTGCACCTCGATACACGCTGTCCAACACGTCGACGCGTTCTTGGTCACCGAGTTGAAGAATCGCACTTGCGACGGCTGCTCGGTTGTAATCGCTGAAGCCGTCGGGTCCGACTCCGAGGCATTGTGGTGCAGAGGGTGCGGCAAGCTCATCTGCCCGTGGTGCTGGCCGCCCTGGCTCGAGAAGCGTGTCCACGAGATTGCGAGTCCTTGTACGTGATCAACCTCGTGGTCTGCCTGGTCGTCGTCGTGGTGCCGCACGTCTGCGTCCAGGAGGAGCGGAGAGCAGGGAGGGTATCCGCCAGAGGGGTGCAGCGGCAAAATCCTCCTCCCCCTCCTCCTCCTCCTCCTCCTCCTCCTCCTCCTCCTCCTCCTCCTCCTCCTCCTCCCCCGTCCCTCGTCCTCCTCCTCCTCCTCCTCCTCCTCCTCCTCCTCCTCCTCCTCCTCGTCTATCCTGCTCCTCCCCCTCCTCCTCCTCCTCTCCTCCTCCTCCTCCTCCTCCTCCTCCTCCTCCTCTTCCTCCTCCTCCTCCTCCTCCTCCTCCTCCTCCTCCTCCTCCTCCATTCCTTCTCCTTGTATCAAATTTCTCCCTGTCGCACCCTAAGGCCAGTTTTTGGGGCGGACCGGGCGTTTTGCCTGAGACTTCATCATTATTTATGACCCTAAGGCTTCAAACGTGATAACAGTTTCACATATGGGGGTCGCTTTCAAAATGTGGCTCTCGCCGCAGCGCCGCGCACATTTGCTCCAAGCAGTTGCAAGGGTTTCGCGGATTATCATGGTCAACGTACCAGAGATGATGTTTTGGAAGCATTCAGGTTTATGAGGGTGCTCAAGTCATGCTGATTCACGGTGTTCCAGTCCCAGGATTGGCGTCCTGGCACGATCCAGGATCGTCAAGACGCAACAATCAGGTTGACCCGTGGCGTTGGAATCCCGAGAACAATGTTTTGGCATGTTACAGGGTCTTCGAACAGTTGTCTTCCAACGAGGCGGTTCCCTCAGTAGAAATGAACCGTTGTATGGGGCCTGTGAAGAGGGAGCTTGGAGGGAGGGTTTATTCCAACATCGTTGATGCCTCTTGGGTTTGCACTGGTCCTCCTCCTCCTCCTTTTCCTCCTCCTCCTCCTCCTCCACCTCCTCCTCCTCCCCGCACTGAGGAGGGCAGGATCTGCGGAGGGCCCGCAGTGGGCCCGGGTCTCTTTTGGGGGCCTTTTTGGGAGGCGAAGCCCCTCGGCGAACCCCATGCGGCCACGCGGCCGCTTTCGTCGGCGTCGCCGCTGGTGTGCGCAGACGCTTCGCCTCCCCTGTTTGTGGCGCGCCTGGCCGGATCCGCGGCCGCAGGATCAGGAGCAGGAGCAGGAGCAGCGGCATGAGGAGGAGGGGCCCAGGATGCAGGAGAAGAAGGGGGGGATAATCACACAGGAGGGGAGGGGACCAGGAGCAGAGGGGGCGGAGATGGAGACAGGGACCAAGATGGAGGAGGGTGAAGGAGGAGGAGGCGGAGAAGGAGGAGGAGGCGGATAAGGAGGAAGAGGAGGAGGAGGAGGAGGTGGAGGAGGAGGAGGCGGATAAGGAGGAAGAGGAGGAGGAGGAGGAGGTGGAGGAGGAGGAGGAGGAGGAGGGGGGGGCGGGGGGGAGCGGGAGGGGGGAGGAGGAGAGACGAGAGGAGGAGGAGGAAGGAGGAGGAGGTGGAGGAAAAGGGGGAGGGAGGGAACGGAGGAGGAGGAGAAGGAGGAGGAGGAGGAGGAAGGAGGAGGAGCAGGAGGAAGACGTGTCTATGCTTTGCAGACGAGGAGGGCAGAACGGAGATATATGTGGCACAAGTTGTCCTTGTTCCTTCCGTCCTTTGACTGTGTTCCTCTGGTGTGTGGCGCCCGCCCCTCGCGACCTTTGACTTTCCAGTACCTCAGGTATGCGGTGAATGTTGTTCGTGTGACGCGCCCGGCTCGCATATTTTTCCCGCCCACTTCTTTCTCATTCATATTTGGACTTCTCACACTCAGTTACATCGCAGACACTCGCTCATACCCAATCCTTTCAGACCTCTCTAGACACCCCCCAAACAAGTGAAACTACAGTACTATTTTTCCAGCGGCCTTATTAGCCCGGCTACGCTGTGTGCGTAAAGAAACCAAGCCAGGCAGCCACAGGGAACCCCGGCGACTGCTGTGTCTGGCAGCGACCGGCCCTGCGAAGACGAGCGAGGAGTCATGAGGCAGAGCCTACGCAGGAATAACTGACAAGGCTAAGGCCAAGGAGCCGAAGGGCCAAGACCAACGAGCCAAGGAACCAAGACCATGGACCCGAGGAACCAAGACCAACGAGCCAAGGAACCAAGACCAGGGAACCAAGAAAGCAAGACCCAGGAGCCAAGGCAAGGGAGCCAAGGAACCAGGGCCACGGAACCGAGGAGCCATGACAAGGACCCGAGCAACCAAGACCAAGGAGCCAAGGAACCAAGACCAATGGTACCAAGGCAGGGTTCGTTTCGATGACTCCGATCCGATTCGATTTCGATGGATTCCGATTCCGATTCGATTCCGATTTGGATTATGATTCCTCACTGGAGGTATACTAGCCTGCCGATGTCCGCCGATTCGACTTCTCCCGACTCGGCTGCCGATTTCTGCCGATCCGATTAATTTCGATCGCCGATCCGACTTATCGATTCGATTCTGGGCTCTGTCGCCAAGGAGCCGAGACCAGGGACCAAGAGAACCTGGGCAACGCTGTGCAGGGAAACCAGCCCAAGGAACCCCTGGGGACCTCTTTGGTGAGGAGACAAGACCAAGGATCACCAGGGAACTTGGCGACGGCCTCGTCCTGTACGCACCCGTTTCTCCCAAAACCACAAAAAAGCAAAGTTGAATTGGGGAAAGTTTATAAGACGCAGGTAGAGTTGGAGGTGGAGTGGAAAGGTGGAGGGGAAAGAGGAGGTGGAGGTTCTGGTGGAGGAGGAAGAGGAGGAGGAGGAGAAGGAGGATGGTCTTATGTTTGCTGTGTCTTCACTGAGGCCACCGCAGCCTTGCGTCTACCACAAGTCCCCGCCGATATTTCACGAGACGGCAGCACGCCTCTTTCTTTGCAGTAGTTGCTTCCATTACACGGCTAACTTACCAGCAGGTATGATGCAAGAAGAAGCGGGGCCGCAAATAGTAGCCTGTAGACCCGTTGTGTTTCAATTGCGCTGCCGCCACCGCTCTGCCAAGGGGCCTGGTATGAAGGGTGTCCTTTTTCGCAGGAGCAAGCTGTCGACGGTATTTTGCTGTGATGCATCCCTCTCCTTGTGTTGGTCATTCAAGCGTCTGCTTCTGGCAATGAGATCGGTGCCTTGCACGTTGCAGCTACGGTGTCTGTTGATGCACACGTCCGCCTCGAAGTAAGAACCTGGAGTCAAGCATAGAAACAGCGCGGTTGAGAGAGGGATCAGCGGCAGGCTTCCAGGGTGCAGTTGAAGGTGGCGCCAGCTGCTGCGCGCCGAGAATGTGGAAGTGGGGGCTCACCCAGGCGCCAAACGAGATTCCCTCGAAACCATTATAATGGATGCTGCGCTTGCTTGCTTAGAAGAGCCGCCGCAAGGTGAATTGTATAACAAGCGCTCGCTTGGCCAAATACGAATCAGCTCCATCATCGCAATCGCCATCCTCATCATATCTCTTGCTGGCACGGGGATTGGGCCCGCCGTTGAGAAATGGCCATTCGTTTTATACTGGCGTACTTTCGATGCCTACAGCTCTCTGCTCAGACCACGCTCGATGTGCTCAGGCCGCGCGTTGCTGGCTATCAGGCGCGCCGGAGGATGAATCATAAATTAAGTCCCCCCCTGTTAACAGGCAAAGTGGTGGTCCTGCTGCTCCGACAAGAAGGCCTACGAATTCGAGGAGTTCATGAGGACACCGCCGCGGGTGCGTACTGCAGCTGCAGGGGGGGGCGGGCGTTACGTCGTCCGGTTGGCTTTCATCGGAGGTTCTCCCCCTTCGTCCTCCTCCTCTCGCCATGATTCATCACACCCCTCTTTCGTTCCCTCCTCATCACCCACCCCTCGCTATGATCCCTTGCCCTCCGCCACATTCCCCCTTCTAGTCTCCCCTCCCCCGTCCTACTCCTTCGGCCCGATTCTCCTCCTTCCAAACCTTCTCCTCCTCTTTCTCCTCCGTGGCACGTCCCACCAACCTCTTCCTCCTCCTCCTCCTCCTCATTCTCCTCCTGATTAACCTCTTTATCCTCCTCTTTATCCTCCTCCTCCTCTTCATACTCCTCCTTCTCCTCCTCTTTATCCTCCTCCTCCTCCTCCTCCTCCTCCTCGCCCCTCTTCCGATTGCTGCTCCTCGTGGCATGGCGGCGCTGGCGAGCCCTAGCGGTCGTGCGGCCGTGTGCTCCTGCCTCCTTCCGTCCTCGTCCCCCCCCCGCCCCTTCTCGGGGGGCCTCGTGGGCGCTCTGAGGCCGTCTCGGGGCCCTCTTGGACGCCTCTTGTGTTGTTTTGTTCCTTCTCTGGGGGGCCCTTTCTAGGAGTCCTCTTGGAGGCCTCCCGGGAGGCCGTCCCGAAGTCCTCTCTTGGACCATCTTGGGGCCATCTTTGGGTGTCTTGGAACCTTCCTCGTCCTCCCCGCCCGCCGTGTCTCCTCCACTTCGGCACCTCCTCCACCAGGGCGGGGTCACGCGCCCGCCGCCCGCCCGCCCACCGCTCTCCGTTCCTCGGTCCAGCCCAGCTGGCATCGCCCCTCTGCCGGGACAGTCCACGTGGACAGGTCCGCCTGGCCGAGGGGCCCCTCCTCTTCCTCCCTCCTCCTCCTCCTCCTCCTCCTCCTCCTACCTCCTCCTCCTCCTCCTCCTCCTCCTCCTTCCTCCTCCCTCCTCATCATCATCATCATCATCATCATCAGCATCATCATCATCAGCATCATCATCATCAGCACATCATCATCATCATCATCATCATCATCATCATCATCATCATCATCATCATCATCATCATCATCATCATCATCATCCGTCCTCCTCCTCCTCCTCCTCCTCTCCTCCTCCTCGTCCTCCTCCTCCTCGTCCTCCTCCTCCTCCTCCTCCTTCTCCTCCTCATCCTCCTTGGGTGCGCTGGGCTCCATTGCTTGCCTCGTCCCGGCCTGCTGCGAAGCCTGCAGTGTTGTCACCGAAGGACTTCTTTTTTGGGGGCGGAAACAGCGGAAAGGGCACGGCCGTGCGGTGGACGGAGTGGTAAAGCGAGAGGGTTATTTGGGTGCGCTGGGCTCCATTGATTGCTTCGTCCCGACTTGCAGCGAGGCTTGAAGAATTTTCACCGAAGGACTTCCTGAGGGGGGCGGACGCAGCGGAAATGGGCACGGCCGTGCGGTGAACGGGGTGGTAAAGCAACACGCAGCAGCAACAGTCGTGGTGAGGCCAATTGTCGAAGGTAGCACTTGCACACGTGCAAGGTAAAGCGCCCCCTCCCTCACGGGGCTAAACTGTTAGTTCGCCTCGAGCGAAATCGAAAGGTGCGAGGTGCACATGTCCACCGAACCGCAGGGATCCATCTCAAGAGTCTCCCCTCTTGGAAGGAGTTTTGTGTATAGTGTCTGTTCAAGTTGCTGCAGCAAAAACTGTTAGTTCACTTGACCAGGATTCGCGCCGGGCGCGCCCGCCACCGTTTCCCGTAGCCGCGGAAAAATTACTACAGTAGTATTTCGGGGATTCGGTGACATGGAATCGAAGGCTTGCCCAAAAATGCGACTGGCCTCCTGTCGGACTGCAAGCGAGCGGTCGACGAGAAATGGGCTGCTTGCATTCCAGCGCGCATACCCCGGAAGGGGAGCGACGTGCGCATTTACCGAACCCCTTTTCCGTCGACGTCCGCTCGCCGACGGAAAATCCGCCGCGAATCCAGCAGGCACAAACCCTCGTGAGTCACGAATTGTTCATGACGCTCGTTCTGCATGTTTCTCTCTGCGATGTCTTGAGCTTTGTGTTATTCGGTGGAGGGGAGTCCTCTCCACGAGGAAAGGAGGAGCAGTAGAAGGGGGGAGGAGGACGTGGACGATCAGCAGGGAGGTCCAGGGCGGGCCTGAGGTTCTGGGGTCCCGAGGAGGAGGGGAGAAGGACGAGGAGGAAGATGAGGAGGATGAGGAGGAGGAGGAGAAAAAGGAAGAGGAGGAGGAGGAGGAAGGAGGGAGGATGCGGAGGAGGAGGAGGGAGGAGGAGGAGGAAGAGGACGATCTAAGGACCCGAGAACCCCGAAGATGATAATATACCCTTTCGCCCCAAAGCCCCCCCTCACCAGTCCCTGGAAGCCTTCTTTGTCACTGCAAGGAGGCCCCCCCTTGAGACGACCACCATCTATGGGCGCGCCATTCGGGCGAACTTGCCATTTTGAAGAACTGCCTTGCATCCTTCCATCCTTCTACGCAAAGACAAGGAATGCGACGCCGTAGGAGTAGAAAGTTCCACGGGGTGTCCAACGAGAGCTCCGGTGTCCTCCACTAGCCTTGCCTGTAGGAGTCCGAGCTCGAAGCGCAGAGAACTGGTCCACTGATACACCCTTGCGTTGCCCACACACTTGTCCAACTATGCGCACGGCTTCCTCGACGCTCCGCTATGTACATAGCATTATCTGCCATCTGCATGGGCGCGTCCAAACTATTTGCATGGCTTCCTGGTCGATCCAGATTGCTTCGTGTGCCAGATTAGAGTAGAACGATCACGCATTAGAGTAGCGTAGGGCAGGAGTAGAGTAGAGCAGGTGTATGGCAGGGTATATTCGGAGCAGAATAGACTAGAGTAGAGTAGAGCAGGGTAGAGAAGAGAAGAGTAGAGTATAGTGGTGAAGTAGAGTAGCGTACAGTAGAGTAGGGTAGAGTAGAGTAGAGTGGGGTATGGTAGAGAAGGGTTGGGTAGGCCGGGCAGAATCAAGTGGAATGGCGTAGGGTAGAGTAGGATCGAGTGGATTAGAGTTGATTGGCGTAGAGTAGAGTAGGGCTTGATTGTGTAACGTAGAGCAGAATAGGCTAGACGTTGGGCAACTTTGAGCAGATTAGGAGTAGGGTAGCGTCGCGCCGCGTAGAGTAGAGCAGGTTAGGGTACGGTAGAGTAGAGTAGAGTGGCGCAGAGTAGAGCAGACTTCAAATTGAGTCAAGTAGAGTAGAGTGGAAGAGAGTAGCGCAGAGTGGAACAGACTAGTGTAGATATGACTAGCGTTCAGAACAGTAAAGTAGCGTCTCGAATAGTAGAGTAGAGTAGAACAGGGTATTGTAGGGCAGAGCAGGGTAGGACAGAGCTAAGGAGAGTAGAGTAGAACAGGATAGATGGTCGAGTAGAGTCGGGTATCGTAGAGTAGTTCAGGGTAGAGTAGATCAGGGCAGGGTAAAGTGGAGAAGAGCAGGGTCCATCAGAGTAGTGTAGAGTAGAGTAAAGTAGCGTAGAGAGCAGCGTAGAGTAGAGCAGGATCGGGTGGAGTGGAGTAGAGTAGGGTAGAGAAGAGCCAGATCTGCGTAGAGTAGAGTAGAGCTGACCCGAGTAGCGTAGAGTAGAGTAGAGTAGAGTAAAGTCGGCCACCGCAGAGTGCAGTAGAGTAGAGTAGGGTGGCGTAGAGTAGAGTAGAATAGAGTAGAGTAGCGTACATAAGAGGAAAGTAGGGTAGATGGTCGAATAGAGTCGGATGTAATCGAACAGTGTAGAGTAGAGGGTACTAGAGTAAGGTGGAGTTTAGTTGAGTAGAGCTGCGTATAGTAGAGTAGCGTAGAGTAGATATGAGCAGAGTAGAGTGAAGTACAGTGTGGTAGAGTAGACTAGCGTGGAATAAAGTAGATTAGAGTCGAGTCGAGTAGAGTGAGTAGAGTAGATTATAGCGAAGTAAGGTAGGGTAGATGTGCCTATGAGGACTCAGGGCGAGCAAGCAGAAGCCTTCGGGCAGGATCCTGCTTGCATGGAGGGGGGCCCTGGCAGTGAATCTGTCCGAGAACGCCCCCCCCCCCCCTCCTTTCTCCCTCCCCCCTTTGCACGCCTCCCTGGCTGGCGGCAAAAATCCGACCCCCCCCCTGTGCCGTACGAGCCAGCCTGGCGTGCGGCATGAATTCCGGCATCAGCTTCCCCGCTGTCCCCCCGCACCCCTGGCAGAGCCACCCCGGCAGCAGCACCCCCAATTCCGAGAACGCCCCCCCGCCCCCCCTGCTTTCCCCCGCTGCCACGGCAGAGCCGCCCGGCCAGGCGCCCGCCCGCCCGAGCAGGCTTGGAGCTCGGGACGTGATCAAAGTCGGACGCCGGATATCAGGAGGGGAAAAAACACACAGACACAATTAATCGTCGATCCACCGAAAAATATTGGAAAATATGGGAAGTGGTGGGGAAGACAAAAACCCAGAAAATATGGAACAATATAGGGGACATTTTTATTTGTGTGCATTTATTTGTGTGTTCTGGGGCCCCTTGAGGATAGGCATATCCTGGTTATGTATGCCAAGGCGGTTTGCATGTCTGCAGTGGGATCGATTTCGCGTAAGAGTGGCCGTTCGCCGGAGTGGCTCTTGGTGCGGGCTCACCGGGGCCGGGGTCCCCCCGACCGCCGAGCGCGACGCGACAGTGGCCGCTTGCGCGCTTGGATGTGGCCGCATTGCGTCCCCTTGGTCCGCGCACTGATGGTCAGTCTTGCCTAGGGTCACTCTTGCGTGTAGCCGATGGGAGCTCTCTGGCTGACCTGGTGGATGTCCCTTTCCGCAATCGGCCCTGGCTCGCCTGGCCTGCTTTCCTGCATCCCAAGTCTGGCTCTGGAACAACTCCACGTCCGGGGCTATGGGCCCGATTGGGCTGACGCTCCCGCTGTCGCTCTTGCGGCGGGGCCCCCCGACGTGATCCCCATGCGTTGCCACCCGAGCGTCTCCATGCTGAACTTGACACCGCGGTGGTGCACCGTCTGCGCTGCCACGAGTCTTTGCCCACCATAGGGCGGGCTACGCGATCGTGCAGCGCGCGTGCGGTGTGAATTGTCTGAGTCGCGATTCCTTTTCGTGATTCTCGTTCACAGTGCTGGCTGCGGCTGTTCTCTCGAGAAAATCGGAGTTCCTCTACACACAGTAGGCGCTTCGCGCATGGCAGGGCCAGGCAGCGGGGGATACATGGAAAAGGCTCATGTGAGGGCCGTGCTCTGCACGAGCGAGATGGGCACGGAAAGAATGGGCACAATGCCCAACAGCAGTTCCTGTTCATTTTGAACAGGACTCGCTGTCCACGCCGCTGCGGCCTGTGTCCATTCGCGACAGAAGGCCGCCTGCCCAACAGCGGCCGCTGTTGCTTTGAGACAACATTTGCGGTTGGGCATTGTACCCATTTTTTCCGTACCGATTTCGGGCGTCCAAATGCGCTTAGGTGCTGAAGGGTCGAGTGGGCCACCCCTGGCTTAGACTCCTCCGCGTCCTCCTTGAACCAAGAGGCGGCCTGAGCCGGCGGGCCGCGCAATCGTATCATCTCTTCTTTCTCCTCCTCCTCCTCCCCCTCCTCCTCCCCCTCCTCCTCCTCCTCGTCCTTCTCCTCGTCCCCCTACGCCTTCTCCTCCTCCTCCTCCTCCTCCTCCTCCTCCTCCTCCTCCTCCCCCTCCTCCTCTTTCTCCTCCTCCTCCTTCTCGTCCTCGTCGCCCTCCTCCTCCTACTCCTCCTCCTCCTCCTCGTCCTCCTCGTTCCCCCTCCTCCTACTGCTGCCTCTGATTCCCTCCCCGAAGTGCGCCCCTCGAAGCGCAGCTCGGCGATCCGCCTGCTCGCGCGCTGCGCCACGTTCCCCCACCACCACCTCCTCTTCCTCCACCTCCTCCTCCGCCTCCTCCTTCTCCTCCTACTCCTCTTCCTCCTCCTCCTCCTCCTCCTCATCATCATCATAATCATCAGCATCATCACCATCATCAGCGTCATCATCAGCATCATCACCACCATCAGCATCATCATCAGCAGCAGCATCAGCATCATCATCATCGTATTTACCATCATCAGAGCCATCAGCAGCATCATCAGCAGCAGCAGCTGCAGCAACAGCAGCAGCTGCAGCAACAGCATCATACTTAGCATCATTACAAGCATCACCATCATCATCAGCATAATCAACATCATCCTCATCATCGTAACCACCATCATCAGCGCCATCATCCTCATCATCATCAACAACAACAGCAGCACTTGCAGCAGCAGCGTTATACTTATCATCATTATTATCAGCATCATCATCATCCTCATCATCATCCTCATCATCAGCATCATCATCATAATCATCATCATCATCAGCATTACCGTCAGCATCAGCAGCAGCATCACCACCACCATCATCCATCATAATCCTGCTCCTCCTCCTCCCTAATCCGTTGGACTCCTGGTGGCGGGCTCGTGGCAGGATACCCGGCTGCCAGACGGGATTCTGCTCCGCCGACCCGGAGAACCAGGCTAGCCAGAAGCGCTTCCTCGGAGGCGGGAGATTCGTCGTCGTCGGCCTCGCCGTCGTCCTCGGGGTGGGGAAGGGAGGAGGAGGAGGAGGAGGAGGAATGCGATAAACAATGATACCGTCATCAGTCGCACTGCATGTTACTCAGAGTGGGCCCCAAACAGCGATTTCTTGCAATACATGCGGTGCAATCTAGGTGGTGCAGTCAAGGTGGTGCAATCTAGGTGGTGCAATCCATGTGGTGCAACCTATGAAGCGCACAGCAGTGCAAAGCAACGCAACGCAATGCAAAGCGGCGCAAGGCAATGCAAATCAATGCATGCGCAACAAAGCGATGGCAACGCAGTGTGATGGCAAAGCAGTCGAAGGCAGTTCAATGCAATGCGATTGCATTGCAACGCGATGCGATTGCTATACGATTGCAGCGCGACCGAGTGCAACAGGGGCGGGGTGCAACGGGGCGGGGCGGCGGCGACGTACGCGAGCAGGGCCGCCAGGCCCGCGCACGGGCCCGGTGCCGCATAAGGGAAGTAAGAACCCTTGTGAGTGCAAGCACTGTTCGGGGGAGTGAGAACAAGAAGGGCAAGAGGATGAGAAGGGGTGAGGTGGAGGAGGAGGTGGAGGAGGATGAGGATGAGGCGGGAGAGGAGCAGGAGGGGAGGGGGAGGAAGGAGGGTGGAGGAGGGGAGGAAGGAGGAAGAGGAAGGGACGGAGGACGTGAGGGAGAAGGAGGGAGAGAGGGAGGTGGATGGGGGAGGCAGGCAGCAAGCGTGGAAGCGAGGGATAACGAGGAGAGGATGGTGGAGGACGGGGAGGAGGAGGAGGAGGAGGAGAGGAGGAGGAGGAGGAGGGGAGGAGGAGGAGGAGGAGGAGGAGGAGAGGAGGAGGGGAGGAGGAGGGAGGAGGAGGGAAGGAGGGTGGGGAAGAGGAAGAGGAAGACGGATAGAAGGAGGACGAGGAGGAGGACGAGGAGGAGGAGGAAGACGAGGGGGAGGACGAGGAGAAGGAGGACAAAGAGGAAGAGGAGGAGGAGCAGCACCAGCAGGAGTAGGAGGGGGATGGGGGACTGGAGGGAGGGGAGGATTGGAACGAACGTCGGAAGACAGGGCTAGAGCTGTCCAGCAACGGAAAGTGGGGGTGGTGGACAGCTTGCAAGAGCGACTTCGACGCAGGAGCTCTCCCACGCCACTCGCCATGCCAGACAACACTGACCTACGGGCAGACGGCTGGCCGTCCCAGTGGTTCCAGTCGCGGTGCACCCCCGAGGAGGAGGAGGAGGAGGAGGAGGAGGAGGAGCAGGAGCAGGAGGAGGAGGAGGACGGGGAGGAGAAGGAGGAGGAGGAGGAGGAGGACGGGGAGGGAGGGGGAGGAGGAGGAGGAGGAGGAGAGGAGGAGGAGGAGGAGGAGGAGGAGGAGGAGGAGGAGGAGGAGGAGGAGGATGTGAAAGGAGGACGCGGCCTGCCACCCCTTGATGCCCGCTCTTGGGCTGCCCTGGGGCTCTCGTGGTGCCCTGACGAAATTGCCTAGGGCTCTACTGGGGCGCTCTCGGGGATCTTCGGAGCCCTCCTGGGGCCATTCCAGGCGCTACTGGGCGTAAGCTTGGGCGGTCGTCGAGCTACGTCGAGGCTTCAGAGCGCCATAGGATGCGGAGAGGCGAGAAAGCGAGCACCATTGACATACACCAGATGTTTGAAGGATTTCAGCCACCTGGAGGCATTTTGGGGGCTATCTTGGGGCCACTTGGGGCTGCCTAGGGGGGGCATCTGGCGGCTGTTCAGGAGCCGCCTCGCGCCTGTCGCCCTCTGATGCCCGCTCTTGGGCCGTCCTGGGTCTCTCTCGGAGCTGCCTTTGGCCTCTACTGGGGCTCTCGCGGGGGTCATCGGAGCCCTCTTGGAGCTCTTCCAAACTCAACTTGCAATCATCTCGGGCGATCTTGGAGCCATCTTGAGGTCTCATCATCCCGTGCGTGGGAAACGGAGAGGCGAGAACGCACAAACCATGGACATCTTTTCCAGGCGTTTGAAGGATGTCGGCCTACTGAAGGCGTCTTGGGGGCTGGATTGGAGGAACTTGGGCCACCTCGGGGCTATGTTGGGACCTCTTGGGTTTGCCTGGGGGGTACATTCGGGCTGTTCAGGGGCTGTTCTGGGGCCTGCCACCCCTTGATGTCCACTTGGGCCGCCTTGGGGCGCTGTAGGAGTTGCCTTGGGGAGATCGTGGAGCCATCGGCCTCAGAATCACATTGGGACATAATTGAAAAGCCAAAGCGGCTCTGAAGCATGTATGCATCCTCGAGGCACCTTGGCCACTTCGGGGCCATCTTTGGCTTCTTGGGGCTGTCATCGGGTCATCCTGGGGTATCCCACCGGTTGGTCCGCTCTTGGGCCGCTCTTGGGCTCTCTCGGAGATCCCTTGGGATTATCCTTGGGCTACGGTGAGGGTACTGAGGGTCGCGCCAAGGAGCAAAACCATCCGTGATCCGACTTGCCCGGGAACGCCATATGGGGCGCTCCAAAAAGGGCCTTGCCTTCGAGGATCGAAGGACTGCAGATGCTGGCATGGGGG